CTATGACACCAGTTCTGGGTGGTTAAGGCTTAAACAGTTGTATTAGTTACATGTTCAGATAATTTACTGCTTTGCTTCCGCTTATTGAAATTTTCGATGTCCACACGCTTTGGCTTTATAATTGTTAAAGAGTATAAAATGGATAAAGAAACAATCTGTTCAAATAATTGGCTTGCCTATCTCACATTAGTCACGACTCCCAAGGGCAAAAATTTCGGATCGTGACACCTACATTTGGGGTCGGGTAATCACTTTAATAGGTGGAATATGAACTTTTGAACATGTATTGATTAATTTATATACCATTTGACTAGTTTTGGATTGTTCGGCATCTAGTTGAGGCTTTAGAGTGAATTTGGGGCCGAAAAGTAAGCTTTGAGACGAGGTAAGTGGTTTTCCTAATCTTGTAAGAGGGAATTAACCCCATAGGTGAATTGATTAATATGTGCTCTTATTTGTGGGGGGGTACGTACGCACGAGGTGACGAGAGTCTGTACGTAGCTACTAATTATGCTATTTGTCCGGGTAGTCTAGGACCCATACCATGCTATACTTACGATATTTGAACCCTACTTGTTAACTTAATTGCTTAAGTCATATTCGAATTTGATAAAGGAATTGTAAAAAGCTAAATTTCACTTACTTGAAGTTGTGGATGGGTCACTTGACTGTTATTGAGAATTGGTGTTTCTTTAAATATTAGCCTCTTAATAAATCTTAAATCGATTGTTATTAAGTATTTTCTCTTTTCATGGAGCGGGCAGGATGCCTCGGTAGCAGATAGATGTATCTATGGTTCGTGTCGTTCGACCCTCAGCAGTGCACAGTTTAAATATTTTATGTTGGATCGAACCGTACAACCTTGGCATGAATTGCGCGTGATATATCTTTGGAACCAATTATAATTTATATTGCTTTATTGGCTTGAGATATAAATTGTTAAATGATAGAAATAAAAATGTGAGATTTACTATTAGTTAAAGGATTTTCTATTATTTCTTGTTATTGAGTTTTTAACTATATTTATGTAATCCATGCTTAGTTATAATGTTGACATTTTATTGTTAGCCCATAGTAAGTGTCAAAGTCGACCCCTCGTCACTACTTATTCGAGGTTAGAGTGGACACTTATTGGGTACATGTTGTTTATGTACTCACGCTACACTTCTGCACTCAATGTGCAGGATCTGAGGCAGGTGCATCTGGATATCAGTCTGGCGCGCATCCTTGACTACTACTACGAGACTTCACAGTGAGCTACCTTCTTAGCCCGTCCTGCAGCAGCCGAAGTCTTTTTTTTTTTTGCTTGTATTTTCTGTCTATTTCACTTCAAGCAGTAGTGTAGTATTCTTTTGTATATTCTACTAGCTGCTCATACACCTATGACACCAGTTCTTGGACGTTTAAGCTAGAAGACACTTGATGGTTTTTGGGTTATCTCATTTATTTCACTACTTTAAAAATCTTGATCTTTCATTTTTATTAAATCTTACTTCTTATTTATGCACAAACTAGAAATCAACTATTTCAAATCTTTAAAAGAAAGAATCACAGAGTTAGATCACTGTAAGCTTTCCTAGCGGCAACATTGAGCGCCATCACGACCTAGAGGAGAAATTGGGTCGTGACAACTGCGGTCTGTCCTTCTGTCGATAGAGAACCTATATATTAACCAGACGCCTCTACCGCGACCTTCAATCTATTCGTAGGGCAAAAATCGGCCCTTCGAAGACCATCTGTCCGTGTCAAAAATTGTCTTTTGACTTTTCTTTATTCTTCTCCCGTCCTTTTACCAACGACGGGAAACCAACCAAATCATCTTCGATCCTTATCTTCGACTCGTACCGGTTGTGGACATCTGCCCAAGTCATTTCTTGGAGCTCAAGAAAGCTTTCCTTCAATTTTTGGGAAGCGTCTGATCTTCTTGGATTCTGACCCTTGGTAAATGTTGTAGCTGCCCATTCATCCAGAACATCCGGGAGCAACATCCTCTCCTTTTGGAATCGGGTAACGAACTCTCGCAGCAACTCAGATTCTCCTTGTGTAATTCTAAATATGTCGTCCTTTCGGGCCTGCACCTTTCTGGCCCCAACATGAGCCTTAATAAAAGAATCCGTGAGCATCTCAAAGGAATCTATGAAATGCTCGGGTAACAGCGAATACCACGTCAAGGCCCCCCTCGTGAGAGTCTCTGCAAATTTTTTCAGCAAAACAGATCCAATCTCGTGGGGAGCTAAATCATTCCCCTTAACCATTGTTGTATAGGTGGTAATATTCTCCTGAGGGTCTAAAGTTTCATCATACTTTGTCATGTCAGGCATTTTAAACCACTTCAGGATTAATTCTGGTGTCACATTTGGTTTGTACGGCAACTGAGTATACTTCTTTGAGTCCGATTCTTTCAGCACTGGTGGTGCGCCCGGGATTTGTTCCATGCAGGCGTTCACTTATCTCATAAACCGTAAGAGTTCATTCTTGAAGGGATTGTTTTCATTATTGGGACCGGATATGCTCCCCCAGCCCCATCAGAACCAACCTTGCCCCTGTAGGTGTTTTTTGTTGACCCTCTACATTGTTTCATTTGCGGGAGCACCGGGAGGAACTAGATCTCATCTATTCATGTTATTAGAAGCCCCCGATAATGCCTATATCAACTCCATCATAATCTTATCATGTCGTGTGAAGTGGCCTAGAATGATTGTTTGTTGCTCTTGTACGACTCTTACTGCATCAACAACATGCTCCTCTACAGCATTATCGGAAGTTGCCTCTCGAACACGTCGCGGGTACCGTCTGTCATGGACCGGCGTGTCATCGTTCCCCTCATTGTGGGTGTCACTGATTGAATCCTCGAAATGAGGTTGATCTCCTTGAACCTCAGGATTGCGTGTGTTGTTAAAACCGTTATATGCCATTTCTTATGATTATTGCTAACACAAATAATCAAAACATGTTAGTAAAAGAGGTAAGTATCAACTTAATTACACGGATGTATATGCCCCACGACGCCAAATTGTTTACCCGTAAAATGGTACAGTTGAATTTATACGTGATTTTTAGATAAGTGAATTAATTTGATCCTGAAATAATGAAATAATTAAAAAAAATGCACAATACTTAGCCTTGAAATGAAGATGAAATCACGAAAATAGTAATTCCATGGGCAGAGCTTCCGGGCACAACAATGATAAAACTAATGAACAAGAAAGTAAAATTGTATAAAGCTTTTAATCGAATATATATAGCGCAAGTTTGCCAGAAAAGTCGTGTCATTTACAATGATAACAGAGCTCACTATTTATAGCTACGTCTAGGGAACAAGATGCTAGGATCATGCCCTTCATTAATGTCAACTATGAGGGCCATTGATGAAGGTGTAACGGTGAGCACAAATAACAAATTCTCTGTAACGGGCAGTGCACTAAATATTGTGAAATATTCTTCATTAAGTGCTACCGATCGGAGGGCATTTTTGAATATTTACGGGTGTTATTCTTTTCGATGACAAACAAGATAATTGCCTTTGGTTCTAACTGTCCCGCACCTTAAGTTCCACGTGTCACTCTCTTAAGCGGTCACTTAGCATAGCGTATTTTACCGTTTACAATGATATTTAACTGATTAATTTTTGTGAAAGAAGATAATATGAAATCAAAAAATATGTATCAATCTTTCTCCCATATTTGTTTCTTTCTATTCTTTTATGCAATGATATTATTTAGTCTTTTATCCAAATTGATACTTAAATTTATAATTTAGCATAAATTTCAATGGAGATATATTTTTCTAAAGAGTCTTCCAAGCTCCCAAAGCTAAGTTCAACATCTCAAGATTCAGTTAACTTGGAAGAACAGGAAAATGAGCTAGAACAACATTGTCAAAATGAAAAGGTTGATTTGAATTCCTTAGAGACTACGAAAGATTACCTATTCGAAAATATCATCGAAATGACTATGATGCAATAAGAAGAGAATATATTCAAAAAGTTCTTTTTCGACCTCGAAATCATAACTTTTCTTAAAGAAATTTTTATGGTAAAATGTGTCGTTTCAATCCTCAATGGTTTGATGAGTATGATTGGTTGGAGTATAGTGTAACAAAAGATGCAACTTTTTGCTTTTATAGTTATTTGTTTCAAGATGAATACATCAATCAAGGGGGAGGAGATGTATTTTCAAGTATATGGTTTACAAGTTAAAATAAGAAGAACATATTTGATATGCATATTCAAGAACCAAGTAGTATTCATAATCAACCAAGAAAGAATGCTGATGATTTGTTAAGACAAAAACAATCAATTCAAAGTGCATTTGCTAAACAATCTGATCAATAAATCGGACTCATTTAGAAGCCGCCGTTGATGTGATAAGATATCTTTTGAACCAAGGACTATAATTTCGTGGACATCATGAAGAGAATCATCTGTTAATAGAGGTAACTTTATTGAACTTCTTAAATGTATGCTAAACGATATAAAGATGTCGATGATGCAGTTAAAAGAATTCCAAAGAATAATTAATTGACTTCTCCGTACCTTCAAAAGGATATTATCACTGCATGTGAAATGGAAACAATTAAATGTATCATTCAGGATTTAAATGGTGATTACTTTTTCATCTTAGTTGATGAATTGTGTGATGTATCATGTAAGGAGAAAATAGCTATTGTTTTGCGTTATGTTGACAGAAGGAGAAGTGTGATGGAGAGGTTTAATGGTATTGTTCCTGTTCGTGATACTGTTGTTTTATCTCTACGAAATGAAATCACTGGTTTACTTGCTCGACATTCTTTAAGTCCATTTCATATATGTGGACAGTGTTATAATGGAGCAAGCAATATGCAAGGAGATATAAATGGACTTAAAATTTTGATAACGAGAAAGTAAATGTGCTCATTCAATTCATTGTTTTGCTCATCAACTTCAATTAATTCTTGTTGCAATTTCTATAAGATGTGATGAAGTACAAGAACTCTTATTATTAGTTTTCGATATATTGAATATGGTAGGAGATTCTTTCAAGCATAGAGATGAACTTCGTGAGTCTCAAGAAGAAGAAATTGAAGAAGCATTACGTAAAGGTGAGCTTGAAATTGGTAGGGGCTTGAATCAAGAACTAGGACTTGCTAGAGATGGTTATACTCGATGGGGTTCTCACTACAAATCCTTTAACAATTTTATTCTTATGTTTGGCCCTATCATTGATGTATTTGATGCTATTGTTGTTAATGCGCTTTTTGAAGAAAAGTGTAAGGCAAAGGGATATCTTAAAGCATGTTTAACATTTGAGGTAGACTTTATATTTCATTTCATACGCAATGTATTGGCAGTCACCAGTGAGCTTAATGCAATCTTTCAAAATAAGAAGCAAGACATTGTAAATGCCATGTTACTGGTTGGATTCGCAAAGGAACGGTTGCAACTAATGAGAGAAGAGGGCTTGGATTCACTTATTTGTGAGGTATCTAAATTTTGTATCAAATATGATATTTCGATAACTAAATTTGACGAGCTTTATGATATCATTGGAAGATCTCGTCGTAAAGTTGTTGATTATACTGTTTTACATCACTACCGTGTTGGAGTGTTTCGTAAAACTATTGATTGGCAACTTCAAGAACTCAATAGTCGCTTTGATGAGGTGACAATTGAGTTTCTTCTGGGAGTAGCTTGCTTGAACCCAGTTAACTCCTTTTCAAGCTTTAACATTGAAAAAATATTGATATTGGCTAATCTTTATCCTGATGATTTTGATAAATACTCTATGGCTGACTTTCGTTTTCAACTTGAGAATTACATTGTTCAGGATCATGATAACAAGTTTTTTGATCTTAATGGATTTGGTGATCTTTCCAAAAAGCTAGTAGAGACAAAGAAATATGCAACTTATCCTCTTGTATTTCGACTAGTAAAATTTGCTTTACTTTTGCCAGTTGCTACTACTACAGTTGAAAGAGCTTTCTCGGCAATAAGTTGATTAAGAGCGACTTACAAAATCTAATGGATGTTTAGCTTTGATGGTGGGCTATAATCACGTGTTTTAGTCGCTTATTACACTCTAATTTACTGCAGTTTACTTGTTTGAGCTTTAATTGATAGTGTTTTGCACTAATTATGTGTTTTGTGCCTTATAGAATTGATTCCGAATTATATAGATGTTGTGGAGCTAATTCGAGATACTTGGAGCTTTGAAGTCTGAGTAAAATCCCAAAGGATCAAGCTGGGATCGTGTTCGGGGGTCGAGGACCGGGTCTGGACATCAAAACTCAAAATTTGAGTCATACTCTGAGAAATTTGCACTAGTGCGATGCAGGGTGCGAGGCATAGTGCGACGCAGCAGTGTATTTTTGCTGCTTGTTGAATTGTTGAGCTCTCTAGATTTTTTCACTAATGCCCCGCATGGCGCATTGTCCCATGCAGCGCGCCTGTGAAAATTGTACAGAGCCAATATCCTATTTCGACTATGAGAAGGTGGTTTCATCTAGGCCCGACCCTACTTGGTAAAAATACATGGAACAAAGTTATTTTTTGACTTTTGACATAGAATCAACCTATGGAGGCTAAGGAATAGTTGGAGGAGCGAAAGCACAAGGCTTTCATCATTCCTTCCTCACTCAAGACCCGAGTTTGGATTGTATTTATATTTTCCCATCTTTTAATTATATTTGTGATGAATTACTCCATGTCTATGGAGTAGTTCTCTTTAAGGTTTGATGGATTTGGTGTATTGATATTTGTTTGTGGATTATAACTCTAGTTTTATGTATTGAAGCGTTTTTGGATGATTTAATTGTTGCATCTATATTCACTTGTTCATGTAATCGAGAGAGGCATAACTTGTAATATTCTTGCATTATATTGTTGGTTGAGTTCATTAATTCTTCTTAGTAATCGAAAGAGGCTAGTTGAATTATTGCTTAAACCTAGTTATATTAAGAGGATAATCGAGAGAATTTCTCCTAAAGACCAATCCACACACATTCTTGCATATCTTTACAGAGTTTAAATTGGTTCATATTGTGAGGTTAAGACTTAATCGAGAGAGGAGCTTCTACTAAACAATAGGACTAATAATTGTGTGAATTCGACAGAATCATTTGAGCAATAGAAGTGAATTGTCTAGAGTTAAATCCCAAGAAATTATTTTGCACCTATCCAATCAAAACTCTATTTTCCCCCATTGATATCTTTCTTTGCTTTTTCCTTGCTTCGATTGTCATTAGTCAGTAGCTTTAGATTCTCAGTTAATTTGTGATGACCCGAAAGGTCATCTCATATTTTAGAACCGAATTCGATATTTAGAGGCCTTCAAAACCTTATTTTATTTCTCCTCGATTTGTGTGCAGAGTCCAGACATGTATCCAAAAAGCTTTTATGCAAAAAACAGAGGAAATAACAATTTTTGTCCTACAAAGTTGATTTTGTTGACTTCGAACAACGTTTTGGATCAACTGATCCGGACCCGTGTTCTGACAGTCCCGGTGGGTCCTTAGTAAAATATGGGACCTGGGCATATGCCCGGAATCGAATTTTGAGGTCCCTAGCCCGAGAAATAAATTTTTGATGAAAATTGTAAAACTGAAATTATAAAGGTTTTAAGAATTTGGTTAAAATTTGATCTTGTTGATACCGGGTCTGTTATGATATTTATACCTTATCTGTGAAATTTGGTGAGAAATGAGACTGATTTGACATGATTCGGACCTTTGGTTGAGAAAACAGAAGTTTTGAGCTTTCTTGAAAATTTCATGCAATTTGGTGCTAAATTCGTAATTTTAGGTGTTATTTTGGTGATTTGATTGTGCGAGCAAGTTTGTATGATATTTTAAGACTTGTGTGCATGTTTGGTTTGGAACCCTGAGGGCTCGGGTGAGCTTCGGATAGGCTACGAGATGTTTTAGACTTAGTAAAATCTGGTATTTTGTTGCAGCAGTTGTTCTGTATGCCCTTCTTCGCGTTCGCGTAGGTAGTATCGCGAACGCAAAATATAAAAAGGACCACGGAGAAGTTCTTCTTCATGAACGCGAAGGACAGGTCGCTAACGCGGAGCAACAGAGGTTTTAACCTTCGCGAACGCGACCCGTCTACCGCGAACGCGATGCATGGACCTGGGGGAGGGGAAGCTAACTCATCGTGAACGCGACACTTGGATCGCGAACGTGGAGGCTGGGGAGATATGCCTTCGTGAACGTGATGGGTTACTCACAAACGCATAGGCCAATAAGGCCAAAGCTTCACGAATGCGACAGGCCTCTCGCTAACGCGAATAAGGCTTGTCCAGTGTTTTAAAAACAGAACCAAAAACGGGAAAGGGTCAGATTTTCATATCTTCTTCACTAGAACTCGACCTAGGGCAATTTTTGAAGAGGGATTTCAACACCAATTCATAGGTTTGTGTTCTTCAACTTATTTCCTTCAGTTTCCATCAACACCCATTAGATTTCTAGCCCTAAATCTTATTCATTCATGGTAGAATTAGAGATTTTGGGAGAATTCGGTAGTTTGCAAATTTGGGAATTTAAACCTCGATTTGGGGTCGGATTCCGAAACTAATTACATATTTGGGATCGGGGGTAAATAGGTGAATGGGTTTTGATCAGAACCTCGAGTTTTGACCAAGCAGGCCCAAGGTCGGTTTTTGACTTTTTGGGGAAAATGTTGGGAAACTTATAATTGTGCATTAGAATGATTTCTTTAGCGATAATTGATATTATTAAGTTAATTATGACCGGATACAAGTGGATTGGAGGTGGGATCTAGAGGAAAAGCGATAATTGAGCTTTGAATTGGTCGTTGGATCGAGGTAAGTGTTGTGGCTAACTTTAGCTTTAGGGATTAGGTATTGTTGTCTATTTGCTATGTGTTTGGTTGTTGAGTACAACGTACAGGTGAGGTGACGAGTACCTATATGTTGTTGTCGGGTCATAGCATACGAGTGAGTCTTATTTTTATGATTGTTGTATTCTTTATTCGTATGTGTTCATGCTTAAACTGGTTATTCTTCATGTTGAGCAACTCTTATCATGTTTTATTGGAATTTGAGATTGGTTGAGTATTGACTCAAAGTTGAGGTTGACGTTGAGAAACTAAATATTGAAATGGGGCTTGTTATTGATAATTCTATTGCCCGGTTATTATTGTTTTGTTGTTTGGGTGCGGAAGAGTGTAAAGCACGAAGGGTGATGCCGTGTCATTGCATATTTATTATTATGTGAGGAAGAGTGTAAAGCACGAAGGGTGATCTCGTGCCATTGCATATTTATTACTATGTGAGGAAGAGCGTAAAGCACGAAGGGTGATGCTATGTCATTTAATATTCATTATCATTGTTCCTTTCATTTGTTATGGTGAGAATGAGAGTAAAAGTACGAAGGATGATGTCGTGCACTTGTTTTGTTGTGTTTCTTTAACGTTCTATTCTCATGATCTTGTACTCCCTCAGCATATTTTTTCCCCTCCCATATGTGTTTAGTTTTTATTATCTATTATTATGCCTGTATATTGCTTAACTGTACAGGTTTATATATGTGTCTTGTCCTAGGCTCATCACTACTTTGCTGAGATTAGGCTCAACACTTACCAGTACATGGGGTCGGTTGTACTGATACTGCACTCTGCACTTTCTGTGCAAATTTCTGTACCGGGCCGTGCTGACCCGAGTGAGCTGCTGCCTTCAGTCTAATAGGAGACCCAAGGTAGATATGTCGGCGTTCGCAGACCCTAGACTCCCCTTCTAATTATCCTAGTTTTCCTGTTTTCGTTTAATTCGAGAATAATTGTATTTTCTTTCAGCCAGTATTTGTAGTGACTCTTAGAAGTTCGTGGATTGTGACACCAGATCTTGGGTAGTCGTGTATTAATACTTGGATTATTATGGATTTCCGCACTTTTTTACTCTGTTTTTGTTTAAATACTGTTATTTACTGATTTGGATAGTTGTTAGAGTATTAAATCATTATATGTCTGCTTGCCTAGCATTCTGAAAAGTTAGGCACCATCACGATCCCGACGGTAGGAAATTCGAATCGTGACAAATTGGTATCAGAGCACTAGGTTGCCTAGGTCTCACTATTCATGAACAAGCTAGGTGGAGTTTGAGGGACGGACGTCTGTGCTTATCCCCTAGAGGCTTCAGAGTTTAGGAACAATTTCACTTCTATTATACTCTGTCGTGCGATCTGATCTCTAAATGCTAATTGAACTTTCTACTCTTGTCCTTTCGTAGATAGCCAGAACACGTATCGCTTCATCAGCTGATCAGCAGCCCGAGCTCCCAGTGGCAGCTCCTACGAGGAGCAGAGGTCGAGCCCGAGGCTGAGGCCGTGCCAGAGGCCGAGGTATGGGCAGGGCTCAGTCTACGGCTCGAGCAGCAGTACCAATAATGGAGCCTTAGGTGGAGTTTGATGATGAGCTCCCGGCCTAGACTGTTCCTGCTAGACCAGCTCAGGTTCTAGAGGGGTTCATCGCTACCCCAGTACTTCAGGATGCCTTGGTCCGTCTAGCGGGCCTTATGGAGAGTGTTACTCAGGCTAGCATATTCCGTGTAGCACCAGCCGTCTCGAGGGCTGGGGAGGAGCACAGACTCCCGCTACTCACACTTCGGAGTAGATGGCTTCTTAGTTTCAGACTCTAGTAGCTCAGCCAGTTGGGGTAGTTCCACCGGGTGTTACAATACAAACCAGTGATGGGTCAGCTATGTCTTTTGATGTTTTGTGGAGATTGGATAGGTTCACCAAGCTTTTCACCCCTACCTATGGAAGTACATCTTCAGAGGATCCCCAGGACTATTTGGATAATTGTCATGAGGTGTTACGTAACATGGGGATAGTGGAGACCAATGGGGTCGACTTTGATATTTTTCGTCTGTCAGGTTCCGCCAAGAAATGGTGGAGGGATTTTTGTTTGGCGAGGCTAGTTGGGTTGCCTGCTTTGATGTGGGACCAATTCTCTCAGATATTTCTCGAGAATTTCCTTCCT